AATCCTCGAGGAGGCAATCCGTCGCCCGTGGCGGGCGCAGTGCGGCGCTTGTTTGCCGAAGGATTGGGTTGCGCTTCCCTTGAAGCCGCGGACGTGCTTTTCAAAGCTGTACCACATGCAGGAGACGAAGAGGGCTCTGCTCGCAGGCGCTCTCGGAATCAGCGAGGCTGGGTGTTTTTCTCATCATAGACATAGGGACTGTCGAGCAAAGAATGTGAAAAGAATGTCCTGGGGACGTAGAAGTGTCTTCGATATGCGAGCCTCGTACGAGACGACAGCTAAATGTGAATTGTGGGTGTTCACAGTTTTGATACGGAAGAGTGTAACGGGGTTACACGTACCCTGGTATGAAAGAATGGGTCACACAAAATAATGTGGCCACACAGTGGTGTAGCTACACCGTAACAAGAAGCAACTTCGTGGCGGGACTGCCAGTAGTTACGCATTTTAATATTTTTTCACTATTTAATCAGGAAAACCTATAGAATTAGATGTCGGCGGCTCTACTGCAAATAATACAAATAAATACATTTTTCGTTTCGAACAGAAGAGTTTTCTGCCTTGGGTTAAGGTTGTGGGTACTCTTGGATTTAGCAGATTGCGATCTGCTACACTCATACTGACTATAGTATAGAACGTAAGGTCGGTATCCTTATCTAAATGTTATTTTTGCCTGGACCTGGATGAATCCCTTCTTTGGCATAGTGTGGCTAAAACCTCACGAATTGACTGGGAGCCAAAAAATGATGAACCACACACTTCTTTTTTGGTTGAACGCTGACGATTTATCGACCCACCACTATCGGCAAAAAAAAGATGTCATAGCTACCGTGTAATGTATGAGGGTATGGGGTTGTCAGAAATTTGAGGCAGTGGTATTTCTAGGTGCTTCTGGCAGAGGTTGGTAGTAGAAGCGGTTGTTCGTTTCTGTTTCAGGATAAGACAACAAAAAAACGTTCGTGATCACAATCTTTATAGTATATTTGGTTTGACTGGAAGAATTGCCTATATGTCGTGATCCGCTTAGTGTGTCTCTGTGGGGACGAAAGCCAACAGCTGTGAGCCGATGCCTCCGAAACCAGGGTTGGTAGGGCATGAACGTGTGCGTGCGTTCGAGTCTCATCAACATTATGCCGAAAACGTGTTTTTCTAACATGGCAAGGAGTTCTATGCGATAGAATTATGCCTTTGTAAGTATAAATTGCACCGTTTGAATCTAGGACACTGGTAATTCATACAGATCATGCGTTGTCGCACACAGCGACGTCGTCACCGCATATCTCGCAGCAAATGATATCATTAATATATTTCTTCTTCGAGTATAATTTCCAGGTTAGGTACAAGCCGCGTCGTTCAAGTATTGTAGAGAATGCGCTTTCTATTTTGATGTTGCGTGCCACGATCGCGATGCTGCTAAGGGATGAGGCGATGCTTTCACCGTACGGAATAGACACAACGTTTATTAGGCCGCTAAAACTTTTTGAAACCTAGTGGGCATGAACGCGTAATTGCAATTTGCCAGATTTAGTGAAAGATAGTAACATCATTTTTGGAAAGGGGATGCTTGCTATCAAATTTTCTTTGGATAAGTTCGAGGCTACAGATGCTTACTCTAAGCCATCTATTTTATATACGAATATGCACTACTGTTCACAGCAACGTCGTCACTAAAATTTAAGAAGAGATATGCAAGTTATTTATCAATCTTTGCCTGTAAGAGCTACGCCAGTTCAATATGTTGGAAAAAATGCGCTTTTGCATCGCCCATGCTATGACTGTCGCATGTCATGGGGTGATATTGTGCCCCGATGAGGTTAACTGCATAGCGTACAGAAAATGCAGTACACTTTCCATGCAACGCTTAAGGAAAAAGCCGACTCGGCGAGTCCGCTTATCAAATGCACAAATGTCGGATTTGATGTGGTGCAGTGTAATGATGTTCACTTCAGAACCGGGGAGTCCAGGGTTCTATCTCCGGGCCTGGTAGAGCGGGGTTAGAGTGTAATGAATAAAATCTTTCAGCACGTGCTTGACATGGCTTACACCACTCCAAAAAAAGGGTGACGTTCGAATAATTACAAATGTCGGATTTGCACGCTTCCCAGAATGTAACGGGGTTACACGTACCCTGGTAACAGGGGTGTGTGTGTCACACGAGATGTGCATGGTGTGACCACACCCAAACAAGAATGCGGTATGTGGCTAGGTAGCCAGTAGTTATGTATATATTTAGATTTTACAATATATCTTTAGTATATTAAGGAAAAACTAAGTTTTTCAAATTAGAAAAAGAAATCAGTTTTTGATTTTAACCCGAAGAGTCAATTAGCCTTGGGAAGGCAAAAATTACTT